CTTCTTTAACAAAACTACACCTGAAAACGTATACAGTACACAAAATGAAATCACAATGTGACCACACATTACGGTGTGTCACAGAAGAAGAACTTATTTTAGTTTCATTTATTTTGTTTTCAAAATTATTTTTTATTTTAGGTCATTAAAATTTTAACCACATCTGTTTTTAGTATTTTTTAGTTTCACTGAACTATAATAACTTTAGAGTGAACACGATTATGGTACCATAAAAACATCAGGCTCTGTGGGATCAAGTCTAGTGATGGGAATTCCGGCTCTTTTTAAAATATGAAAACAAAAAGAAGATGCACATTTTCTGTCATATGGGCCTGCATGACTAAACTTTCTGAATCCTGAAAATAGTTGTGGATGATTACTATACTATAGTAATACTATACCTTTCTAATGTGACGCTGTTGTCCCTGGCTCTCTCTCTCTCCCTCTCGCTCTGTTCCTGTGCTACTGCTGGGAAGAGGGGGGAGGGGCGGTAGTTACAGCAGAAAAAAAGTGCGAGAGAGAGGGCGAGAGAGAGGTGAGAAAAAGAGGGTGAGAGAAAGCAAGCAAGAAAAAAAAACACGGCTAGCGATAAGGAGTCGGCTCGCGTCGTTCACTTCAAAGAGTCGGATCTAAGAGCCATTTTGTTCGCAACCGACACATCACTAATCGGGTCACGTTTTTCCAGCAGTGCTCTGATTGGTTGGCGGTCCACAGTAACTTCTGCTGCTGACGACTGTCGTTATAAACTGAAACTAAACTGAAACCAGAAAGAGCTCAAGAAACTGGAGACGCAGGTATGTGTAATAGCTTGTATTTCTGCGGTGTGAAAATGATTCACAAATCAGTCCAGATATGAAACTGTGACTTAAAAAAAATGTTACTGTGACAGTTCTGACCAGCTCTGACCTGTGGAAGAGGCTTTCATGGGGATCTTCAGGTTCACACACATATATCATTTGGTGTTACACTTTCAGTTTAAGCCTTGTTATAATTGAAATTACATGTAGGGAAATTTAAACATTTGTGTGTCTACAGGCATTATAGGGTAAAAAGCAATTAGTGTGATGCATTTGGGTGCGCCTCGTAAACTTAACAATCTCTACACAAATAGCTGGTGAGGTTGTTAAAAGGTGGTACATTTCTCTTAAACTTATAATCATTACTTTGTTGTTGCTTTGGGTTTTGGATATTTCAAACTTCTACACATTTAGTTCTACATGTTGCAACAATACTTATTATGGTATAATACTGCTCGTCCTATTATTGTAATAGTTGGAAGGTTTACTAGTGTGAGTGCAGCGGCCGCCATTACAGGCGAGCACGTTGCTCTCCGTGCATTTGGTTAGAGACACTGTACACTACTTAACCCTGGCACATGTGCGTATGTATGAACAGGGTAGAGCAGCGGAGACCTGGCTTGTATGGTCTTGTTCTGTTAACGCCAAATAAAGGACTGTTATTTTGTTTAACTGACTGGCGTTGTGCGGCTGAACTCCAATGTAATTAAATTATTATCAAAAAATTCTTTCTCAAAGATTTTGGTTCATCATCAGTTACCTATTTGATTATTTTCAACTTGTTGAACTACAACATTTATTCCCCTTACTGTAAAAGTGAGGCTGCTCATTTACTGGGTAGTCTACACCTCTACCCCTCTACCTTCATTAAATTCTGAATATGCTACTTGACATTTAGATCAGCACTCCCTACTGGTTTGTGGTGGTGTTGGAAGTAAATTTGTTATTTGCCAACTACCAGTAAACCTTAAAGAAGAAGAAGAGTCTTCTTGTTCAACAGTTTTCAGTATTTTAACCTCAGTAGGACACGGACAGTTAATTGCATATCTAAAGTTTCATAAGTCTGGCTTTTGATCCAGCATATTGTGTTTTTAAACTAGTTTTATAGTTTTGCATCTAATATATTAGTTCTAGTTTCTTGGTAAAGGCTGAGTTATTTTCATTATGATAATGACAGTGGCTTTACAGATACTTTGTTAGTGTACTTAAGTAGAATTTTAAAGTATCTGTGCTTTACTTGAGTATTTGTATTTCTGACAACTTTTTCCTTTTAATCCCAACATTTCTAAACAAATATCTGTACTTTCTAGTACTTATATTCTCAAAACAGACTTAAGTTCATCTATAGCTGTCATGGTCCCTGTGTCTACCCAGTCAGCTCAGGTGGGCCACTTGTTTTTGTTGTTGTTTCTCTCTCTCTCTCTCTCTCTCTCTCCTGTCTCCTTTCTGCCTGGGCGGAGCTTACTGCGGGCTCCAGCCTTTGGCCCACACACCTGCAAACAATCACTCACCTGTGGCTCGTTATCTTGCTTCTTGTGGCCACTATTTAAGACAGTGGCTCAGAGCTTCTTGTTGCTGGTTTGTTTTATGACTTCCCTGGATTCCTGTGCGCGAGTGTTTGGCAGTGTGGCGTGTTAGAAGACGAGCATATTGTGTGGTGACAGCAGAGCGTGTGTATGGTCAAAGCTGATCATTGTGTGTGGATTGACGATTGAGTGTGGTGTCCCTCTCCCCCTCCTTCTCGTGGATCTCTGGAACCCCTGACCTTCCCCATGATTGTATATAGCTCACTTGGAGTTGTAAACAAACGGTCTGTGCACTTTTTCCCCGAGTCTGTGCCTGAGTCCGTTCAGTCAGTCCTGACAATAGCGTTTATACTCAGGGTTAAAGTGGGTCGGAAGGGTTGCAGGTGTCTATAAATTGTGGTTGCAGTACTTCAGCATCTAGGGAGGGACTTTTATTTAAGTGTCAGGTTTTTTCAATTGCAGCGTTTCTATTAGCTCAACAAACATAAGCAAACACACAAACTGTTTGTGTGCAATTTGTTGCAGTTTAAGTTCCAGCTACTGTATTTGACAGGGAGCGAAAAGAAAGAGGAAACTTCACTCAGAAATTAGTTTATTTGGTAGTTCAATGAAAAGCTTCAGTTAAGAGTGAGGAAGAAACATTGCATTCATGTTTGCAGTTTTGTCTTGTTATACAATATTTGAAAAATAAATAAACACACACACACACAGACACACACACACTCACTAACTACATTTTGGGAAATATTTGTGGGTGTTTTCTTGTTTGTTTTTTCTGTACTACTTGAACACTAAACTGGCCCTCACATGAGATGACAGTGCCAGCAGTGGCCCACAGCTCATTTAAGTTTGAGACCCCTGATTTAAAGGGAAGGACTGTTCAGTGTGTTTGATAAGCAGCAGATTAAAATTTTAAATGTAATAATTTTAATCACATATTTGTATATGTTGTTTTTTGATAAATTATGTGGTGGGACGTGGACTGCGGTGCCATGCCATTCATCCCTGATGAATTGATCAGGTCCACAGTACATGACCCTTTTGACACAGCAGATCAATCACACTCTAGATCTTGTTTTTAACACATAGCATAGAAACTGAACATGTTAGGTCTAAACTTGCAGACCTGTCTCAGAGACCATAACTGTGAATGAAGCAAGACGCTCAGAGCTAAATCTGTTTTACTTGCCAGCAAGGGAAGTTTGGTAGGGGTCTTAGAGTTGTAAGCTCTTCACCTGAACTCAGCCAACTCTGAACCTGACTAAATAAAGTCAGAGAGACTTTATTTATCCCCAAGAGGCAATTAAGATAGATAACTTGCTGACTGTACATACAATACACAAACATTGGGGAGACAGGTCAAGCCAGGTAGCACTGGTCTACTGCAACGGCAGCGACCTGAAACAATGGGAAATGCACAACATGAGGAAAGACAAGGAGAAAAAAGAACTGAGCTCCAACAGGGAGATCAGTTTGAGAACAGAAAGAAAAATACCTCAGCACATGAATCATCACATCTCTACACTGTACATTTTAGGACATCGTCAGGTCTCAGAAGAAAAAAAACAGCAACAAACAACTTAAACATAAACAATCACAAAGAAAGAACAATACAGTATCCACATCTGAACCAAAGAGTAAAACAGTGAAATGTGGATTATTAAATATTAGGTCTCTCTCCTCCAAGTCTCTGTTAGTACATGACTTAATAATTGATCAACAAATTGATTTACTCTGCCTTACAGAAACCTGGTTGCAGCAGGATGATCATGTTAGTTTAAATGAATCAACACCCCCGAGTCATTCTAACTACCAGAAATCTCGAAGCACAGGCCGAGGGGGAGGTGTGGCAGCAATTTATCTATTAATTAATGAAAGACCAAGACAGACTTTTAATTCATTTGAAAGCCTGATGCTTAGCATTGTCCACCCCAGCTGTGAAACTCAGAAACCAGTCTTACTTGTTATCATCTATCGTCCACCTGGGCCTTAAACAGAGTTTCTGTCTGATTTCTCAGACTTTATATCTAATTTAGTTCTGAGCTCAGATAAAATAATTATTGTGGGTGATTTTAACATCCATGTTGATGCTAAAAATGACAGCCTCAACATGGCATTTAATCTGTTGTTAGACTCAACTGGCTTTTGAGACCTGACACCTGACATCTTGTGTGCATACATCTCACAACATAGAAGACATAAGCTTCGAAGGTGTTTGGAGGGGGGGCGTGAGTGTAGGTCAGTGTCAGTGTATATGCATATGTGTGCGGGTGTGTGTGTGTTGCTTTTTTCAGAAGAAAACGTTTTACTGCACTTTTTACTTACTCACTGTGCTCCCGCTTGGGATTAATCAGCTCAGTAAGCTCCTCCATCGTATTGTCCAAAGACCTCACATTACCTGTGATCACTGGAACAGCTCCAGCAGTGACACTCCTTTGTTATCTTCATACCTCCTCGGGTATTATTGCAGTCGACCTGCAGGGAAATTTCAAGAGCTAAAATGTTAAGAACTTTAAATTTTCAGTGTATTGAAATGTATTAAGGGCATTTCAATACACTGAAATGCCCTTAACATCATACAGTTTTGTATGTTAACTGAAAAAAATTAGGTATCATTATTTTTCCAGTTGTGTAATAACTTTCAACATCTCTCTTACTGCAGTTATCGAGGATAAAGATGGCTGTTCAAACTGACTGTAAATCAGTTACTGAGGAAATTAAAGCTCTACAACTCCATGACAAACCATCAGCTGTTGGAATGGTGAAGGAGCCACTGGGGATGGACGGCATCACACTAAATATCGCCATCACTGGAGAATCTGGTTCTGGTAAATCCAGCTTTGTTAATGCCTTCAGAGGCATAGATGATGAAGATGAGGAAGCTGCTGCGACCGGCACTGAAGAAACCACTCATGAGGTCACACCGTACCCCCATCCAGAGTATCGTAATGTTACTTTATGGGATCTTCCTGGAATCGGAACCACCAAGTTTCCAGCTGATAAGTACTTGGAGCAGATTGGATTTGAGAAGTTTGACTTCTTCATCATCGTCTCAGCTGTTCGGTTCAAAGAGAATGATGTGAAACTTGCTCAGGAGATTCAGAGGATGAAGAAAAAGTTCTACTTTGTTCGCTCAAAAACTGACCGCGATATAAAAGCTGAGAGAAGAAAGAGAGACTTCAGTGAAAAGAGGACTCTGACAACAATCAGAGACGACTGCGTTCAAGGTGAGCGACCTCATTCAGGTGCAAAATAACAAAAAAACTGGAAAAACTGGTCTGGAAAAAACTTTCAGCTGCATGAGATATTTTTGTTAAATGTTATGTTTTTTTATGGTGCTGAATCCAAAAATGATCTCCATGTCCCTCCATCACGTACAGTTTCTTTACAA